AATTATTTTTGAGTAATGTTGTCATCCGTTTCTCTCTGGTTATAGCGATTTAAATACCTCAGGAAAGTTTTGCAACGTAAGTCATTTTATATAAATGAAAATCGATGTTTCCAAATGTCTTGCTCGCGTTTTTGTTGTGAAAATGATTTGAATCGCAATCGAGTACCGGTGTATCTCAGACGAGTTAATAAAGCTCGATGACGCGGTTGATGGTTATGGATCACCGATCCGAAACCGTCGTCTTTTTCTTCTACAGTTAATCGAATCGATCGAATCCGAATTGCCAGTTGTTGTACGTAGCGCAGTATTCCGTGTCGTGTCATCGCAACCAGTTGTTAGCGATGACATGGCTTCTTTTTATAGACAAACGTAAACGTATGTACGCGCACGTGCGTGCGTGCATTGCTTCGTGCATGAGTCGGTTCCTGCCAGACACGTGTGCTAGTTTACATACGCGAAGCGTATACAGGGTGACTCCTGAAGAGGCAGCACTTCAAGCACTTAGGATCTTTCGAGCAAGTTGGTCCATTATTAACGATAATTTCTCTCTCGAGATGTTAATAGTTTTGAGTCATGAAATTTGTAAATAAAATCCTCCGCGTATTAATTTTCCGAAAATGCGACTAAATAAGGAAACTTTAATCTCTCTCTTCAATTTTATAAGTGAACTTCATTATATTTTTATTTTCCTAAAAATTGTAATAAAGAAGAGAAGAAGGTGATTTTTTAAATTTAGATGAAACTAATTTTGTGGAGAATTTACATCAACTAAAACTATTTTTTTTTTTTGAAAATTTACATAAACTAAAATAGTTTTGCAATATTTATATATGTAATATGTAATATATATTTGCATTACGTGCAACATTCAACCATTGCAAACATAATAAGAAGTAAATTTAATTTAAATAAACATGACGGAAACGTCGAGCGATTTTGCCGATCACGATTGATTTCGAACTGATTTCTTTCTCTCTTCACAATTTACGCCCATGATACTCGATGGAAAGGCATGCTAATAGCATGTAATTATATACTGCGATTCAATCGATCGAATGATCGCGGAGATAAACAAAGAACGGAATAATCTTCGTTCTTCGTGGTGTTAATCTAGAAAGGATTACGGTTCAATATTTCAATCGATCAATCAACCGAGTATTCAACAGGATTATGTAATAAAAATTGAAATATTCCAATTAAATAATTTTTTATATTATTGTTCATAAAATAAAATAGTAAATAATAGAAACCAGAAATTCTGATTAAAGATTTGCTTTACGTAATTTGCAACGAAATAAACAAGAAATTATTTTTTTATTTTTGCAAAGGATGAAGCGTATATATATTTTAAATCTATTTCATAAGAAACAAAATGTATTTTATGTTGAAAAATTCGATATAAAAAGACAACAAATGTTAAAAAAATAGCAAGCCTCTTAAATATCAAGGAAGCAACTTTTCCAGATGTTATTTTTCATGTATAATTCTTATTTATTTTTTCTGTATTTTTAAAATAAATGTTGCTTCTATTTTTTTTTTATTTGTATATTTGTAAAAGTGAAGCCATTTTATCAAAATTTATCGAAATACGTATAAATCACATTTGTGCTTAGATCGCATCATCGTCCTCGCTCTAACTTGATGTATAAAATCATCGCAATTTCTTCCATATTTCACGGTTCGAAAAACTAGCCGAAATCGGCACATCTTTTTTGCGCGACTGACATCAGAAATTCCGTACATTGCATATGAAAATTGATAGTTCAACATTTTCCGGGTCTGTTATTATAGGTGTGTGGCAACGAATCGCTCCCATGTGGACTGTAGATATTATTAATATAGGTACTGTAATAACATTGTTACTCAGGTAGCAATCGATAATCAATGCCCCGGTATGTTAACCTGCCACTTTTTTATGAAAGCAGATCATCGATACGTGTCATCCAATCGCAATTGCCTGATGAACATTAGTGACAAAATTGTTCAAGTTTATCCTATGCGGTAAAAAAATATTGTCACTGTGCAGCGAGCTTTTTTCGCGACATTCATTTTCAGATAGACGCAATAAAAGTAAGTATCGATAAGTATGTTTTAACAATTATATTTAAAACTTGGTATCAGGCTGTTTTTCGCAACGTGATGAAGTGAACTGTCATGCTCACGAAATGTTGACATTTAACGATATTTCAAGACGTGGAGTTTTTTTCATTTGATGACACAAATCAACAGAAATGTCTTTGTTACTGATTGAATACCAACTGATTGAATACTAAGATAGTATGGTGTTTATGTCAACTGGTATCACTAAATGGAAAATACCTATGAAGATAACTCGTAAATTATGACTTCTTGAAGAAAACACCTGGAGCCTCAAAAGAATTATATATAAAATTATCATCTATAATCCTATATTACGAGAACTAGTTAATAAAGAACAGATATTTTGCTGACATTTGCAGACGTTCTATTTTTTATACCATTCATTATTGATTTTTTTAAGATCTTTTTATTTTCCTGCTATTTTCTGTCATTTCTTTTTCTCTGTGAAAGGTCATCCTAGAATTTTTTAAATTTATTTCCGCGTCAAGCAGTAAAATTAATTAAAAACACGTTAATATTGCAATGAAAAATCGCCTGTTACAAGACAGAGAGAAACGAGCAAAAACTGTAGGGAATCATTTTGTGATGATAAAACTTGAATGAGCCGCAAAGTTCGCGTTGTCGACGTTATCAATCTGGCCATGGTGAATGATTACCGCAGCAGAGCGTTTTTTTACAAGTCACTTTAATCTTCGTAACACGCGGCGCGGCATGACCTCATACGACGACCACTCCCATCCTCCCTAGCCCTCCAGGTTTCGCTTCTCTTCCTTCCTCTTTTTCCATTTCCGTTCGGTGCCACTCGACAAATTGATTAGGCGTGCAATTTCGCGTGTCAAGCTGCCGCTCGCCTCCCAAGAAAGTTCTCTGCAAGGAATTTAGAAGCTCGCAAGGAACACGTCACGACCCGTTGCACGTCCGCGTTGACTTTGACTTCTATTTTCGACACTTGTCTCTGTATAAAGTACTCTTTTAAAGAAACTTACGACAGAAGTCACACCGATCAAATAGATGTTCGACAGAAAATTTTTAAGTAAATATCTTTTTTTACATGATTTTAATTTATTGTTATAAGTTGCGATTTGAAAGTCTGTCTTGATTAGAAAAGACAAGATTCGTGTAAAATTTCAAGTTTAAAGCTGATGCCGTGAAAGTTCTAAAAGTCTTCCTGACGTTGAGAATATTAATACCATTTTTGACTTTCCTTTTCATCCAAGCGTATATTATGGGAAGCATAAAACACGCGAGATAATTAAGTCGAGCCAGGGAGATCAATGAAATCAATGTGAAATCTGAAAACAGATACATGAGATAAAGAATTATTTAAATTTTACAATGATATATACGGCACACTTTTCATGTCTGCGCAAAATAATGTGGCAACTCGATGCATTCTATGTTTATAAATACAGATAGTAGAAACTTTAACTTCGCTTAATTACAATGTGACACTAGTAATTTCTTGCTCTAATGATTTGTTGTCAGAGAGAATCTCATTTTGCGGAACAACATAAATCTCTGGTAATTAAAGAGAACGAGGAAAGGAAGGGATTTATATGTTAGAAGAATTATGATAGAGAATGCTTTCCATTTAGTGACACAAGTCTATACAAACATCATTCTTTCTTGATATTTAGAAAATAACAAAGATAAAACGACATTTAAGTAAACTTATGGAAAGCACCCACCCAGATGTTTTGAATTAAAGAAACTTAATGCAAGCTGTAGAAATAATGAGAAATGTACGTGCATATTCAAAAATCTATTAAGAGTTCATATCGAAGATTTAATCTAGAATATATAGATGTGGGTCTTTCAACGTTAATAGTCTTTAAACTAAAGAATCTATACTATTCAGAACATAATTAAATTAGCATTTGCGATATCACGAATCTGTGAAGACTGTAATATGTGAAAATAGACTCTTATATAATAAACATTTTTTAAATAAAAATTTGTGATCAATTCAAGAAGGTATTGATCTATAAAATAAGCTTTTATGCTGATTTATTTAATTGATACTTACGCTGAAATCATTTCGATAATTGATACTTTAAATAAATGTAAAATTTACACAATAGAAATTCTTCTAGATTGAATTTTTTTTTTTTTTTAAAGTAGCATATTCGATAAGATGCTCTGTACTTCCTTGACTTACAATCTGGGATGTGGAGAACCAGCTCGAGTGGCTCGAGTAAAGCGGCTTATCTTGCTGTTAGGTGAAAGGCACGTACAAATGGAAGCGAGAATAGGGTGAAAAGACGGTTGTGATCGATAACTGATAGTCAATTATAATTTATGAATACATTTCTTAACAGAATTGGATCCATTTCGAATTGCAGCAATAAGAGAATACGTAATAAATTTACACTTTGCAAAAAATCATATAGCAATTTACATAAGAATCTTTAAGCTTAAAAATTTTACTTTCAAAATTCCATTAAACTTTTTTCTTGACGCTTCTATGAGGCCAAGTGATGCTGTTTCCAAGTCGTTTAGAATTTACAAAAAAGATTTTAATATTGAAATTATATGTGAAGTTGAAAAAGAATTTTTTTCGACTTAAGATTTTCTGAAAGTTAAAAACATTTTTTTTCAATGCTTAATTTAAAAAATTAAGTGGCTTTTTAAATAATATAAAAAATTTTTAACAAATGTGTTTATAGTGTTATTACTTATTAAAATATATTTCCTATTGAAGAAAATAAAAAACAAGAATTTAATTAAAAAATTGATTTAATTATCAAGTTCATTAGAGAATAATTTTATAATTAAGTTCTTGTTTTTTAAATGAAAAATTTTTTTATGCTGCGAAAAAAATTTGAAAAATTAAATTGAAGGAAATCGATATTTAAATGTATTTTTTCCTATATTTCCTATTCTCTCTTTTTTTGTTTCAGGCCAAACAACGTGCCTCCGTAAAATGGCTCCTGTCGAAGGCATACAACAATCGAGTGCCAGAAAAACTCCGCGATCCCTATTATCGTGATCATGAGGTAAGCTTTAATTTTTGTTACAATGCTTTATTAATGAAGTCTCTTACGTTTAAGACTTTAAAAAGTTTCACATTTTATTAATATATTAATAAAATTTCACATATGTGTGTGCTGCATAATTACAAATTGAAAGTAATTTTTGAAATAATAAATTCGCCATAGAGAATTGTATAAAGCTTATAATATATATTTACAATTTTAAATTTCGTAATAATACATATCTACGAGAAAATTTTTCTTAACAAGTAGGAAAGATATATTTTCTCACAAACAAATTTTATTATGATTTTTTTTATCTACTTTGATTTTATTTACAATCGATAGTATCCTGAAATCCTACTTTGTAGTTTGTAGTACACGTCATTATTTCGAAAGAAAAGATCTGTTTTCTCACAAACGAATTTTATTATAGATTTTGCGCATTGATTTTTTTACAGTTGCTATTGCGATTGACAATTCTTTCTTTCATAACACTATCAATAAATTTTTCTTTATGCTTCAAAGTATCGTGAAACACTCTACTTTATAATATACGTCATTACTTTACGGAGAAAACAGTTCTCTTTCGTCGTGAATGGCGGTGCTGGAAAATTATTAAAATATCTATGCAGCCAGAAATGCTAATAATGCTTTTGCCAGTACAATATTGCATCGCCTCCGATGAGAACGAAGGAAAGTGGTGTTACACATTACATTGTCAATAGCTTACTTTACGCTACTTTACGCTACGGGAACTCACGAAGAAAATGTAGCCGAGACTTCCATAGTTAAAGTTCCGTGAAACTTTACGAAAACTGAACTTTATACTCCCCTCCCATGAGGATGTCTGTCATCAGTCAGTTTATACGAAATATGTTCAGGGAAAGCTGTTCGAAAGAGAACCTGATTTATACACTAAGAAAAAAATATAATAAATTTTAATAAAATATTTATTTGAATGTGTGCCAACTAAATATTTACTTACGTAAATAAATATTTATTTAATCATCAAAAGAAATAGTAATTAAAAATGATAATTAAAAAATCAATTTAATGGTTCTTGTATTAAATAAATATATCTTTGTATTTAGTTAGTATTATTTAAACAAATGATTTATTAAAATTTAGTATATTTTTTTATTGTGAAATGTGCACTAGAAAAAGAGTCTGATTGCATTAATTGGAATTCTGATTAAAAATGAACGAATTAGAATTTTCTGATTGAATTTATTATAATTTTAGTTGATAACCAGAATTCTGACTAATTAGAATCTTCTAATTTATTCATTTTTAATCAGAAATTTTTCTCAGTGTATCAGCTGCTTTTATTTTCTATGAAGCTGTTATTTTCTATAAATATTTAAACGTGGAATTTTTTGCTTTATTTAAATATTATACAAGAATATTTTATACTATATCTTCATATTCTTTTGTGTTTTCTCTCTTTTCTGAGTTTCTGATAAAAAAGCAGATGTATATATTTGTCCCATTTGTTACAAAAGAAAGTCTAGATATTTTTGTCTCAGAAGAAGCATCTTTTTTTTTTTGAAGTCAAAGTTTGAAAAATATTTCCGTGCTTTGAAGATATGCGATCTTTATGTAAATTTCTCTTCGTAATCATAAAAGCGCTTTCTGCATTTTTATGATTATGTAAACATACATATTCGTGAAATGAGGAAGCTTAAATATTCTCATGAAATAAAGACGAACAAGACATTCAGGTTCATGCGAACTTACATAGCTGCAGTTTATAAATATTAAACGACTTAGAAAAGAAACTGAAGATAAACTGCAATGTAACTACTTTTGCACGAAGATGAGTAACAATCGCCGACAATATTTTTACTTCGTACTTCTCTCTCGTTCGCTTCTTTGCGCACCGACAATATAATTATATTTATTAGACCGACAGTACGCTAGGAATCCTGGTTACTATCTTTCAATTATCTCTGCTTCGCGTATTTTTTATCGTTTGCTCAGTAATTTCACACAAAAACTTTTACAGATCTTCTTTTCGATATTTCTATATTGTAGTTTTCTTGCGCGAAATGAACATTCCTCGCTTCAACATTGATCTATTAATGCTGCTTGTTATATCTAACAGAATCTACGTTAAAGTAATATGTTATAAAATATTATTTGAATGCGAACTTAGTGTTTCGAAATTGTTTGATTTTAAAAGTAATTAAATTGATTTTGTCCAAGTAAACTTTAGAAAAGAAAATATTTTTCTTGTTTAAAAAGGAAACAAAATTTTACTATTTTTATGTATATTTTGTTTTATCTTATGCTCTTACGATTATAAATCTATACATAAAATAAGATAATGAATTATGCAATATAATAGGAAAATAATGAGAACTTTATATATAAAATAAGGAGCTTCTACCAGGTTATTTTAATAAACGAACTTTGAAAAGTGTAATCAGTAAACTTTTATTATTCTTTTATTATCATTTTATAGTAAAATTTATTATGAATGTATTATCTAATACATTTTTTATTGTAATTATTCATATATAAAATTTCAATTTATATTGTACTTCTGCGTTTTTATTATTCATACTTTATTATTCATACTTCATTCTTTCTTCATTGTTCTTTGTTCTTTCTTCTTCATCCTTCCTTTTTCGTTCTTCGGTCTACAGTCTTTTTTGCTTCAATTCGCTTTCTATAGAAGTCTTCATGGTGGATTCGAAGTATCTGATCTTGTTGGCTACCTTGGATACTGGATGCTACTTGAAATAATGCTTTCGCATTCTTCGGCACGAATAGTCATTGCAAAAAGCGAACAAAAGATTATTATGAAGACAAGGTCGTTCTTCCCCTTCGTTTTCTTTGAACTCGATCATTTGTGGCACTTTCACTGTGCTAAGTTTTCTAGACAGAAAAATACTTCAATGGTTTATCATTATAAATATCACTTATCATTGGAAACGTTAATCATATAATTATTGATGCATAAAAAATTTATAGAATAAAAATTTTTTGTTATGCGTAAAAAAGTGTTATAAAAAAATTTTATATATATTTGTCAAACATAATTTATGTATTAAAAATCTTCAAAATATATAGATTTAGTACAATTATTTATCTAATTTTAATTGTATAATCGCGCAATTATTTACGAAATTATTTTAATCTAAAATAATTACATGGACAGTGTGGTTTTGAATTTAATTTGTATAATTATCTGTAATTTTAGAGATAAATTTTAATGTTTACAGGAACAAGAGCATTTGAAACCGCAAATTGTACACGCGCTTTCCAATGCGGAGCTCTACTGCCTCGCTCTGGCCAACATATACTCGGATCCTAACTATCACAATCAGAATCACTACGGGATCCTGCAAGCCTTGGCCAGGAAAGGTGTCTACGTCGCGGAGCAGAACAATACTCAGCTCACCGAAACGATCCTTATTCAAAATTCACCACTTAAGATGGTAAGCTTGCCAGTGCACATGTAACATGCGCACAGTCTATATGTTTCCTCTTCTCCAAGACATTTGAACATCTTCAAGTATCGAGAAGTGATAATTTGAAATTGCTAGAAGATATTAGTATAATTTATCCATGATATCTTCAAGAAGCTGCATAAATCCTATTACTTAAATGTGTTATTACAACAGATCATATGAAATTATTTTAATCAATGCTAATAATATTTTTGTTTCGTTACAGTCCGCGCATATGGCTGTGATAGAAGGCCTGATGGTCTTGTACGCGAAAGAAGTGGTGACGGGAGATCGGGTGGTCTCGGCGATACAACGGTTTGATCCTCAAGTCGAGGTGGACGTACCGTCGGATCATGAGAAGGGTCTTTTGCTCTGGATCAATCACGCATCGCACGCGTTAATTGCCAAGATTCAGAGCGAGGAGGGTGGTGGCGACAAGACGCGGCTGCCTGAATTACCCGCTGCCAAGGATTTTCAATCTCTATGCGACGGTGTCGGCCTAGCGGCTGTTGTAGCTTTCTACTGTCCTAGCGAACTCAATTGGATGGAGATTAGGGTGTCGAAAAGACCTTCGGTAGCGGACGCACTGCACAATCTTTCTCTGGTGCACGCGTTCTGCGTCAAATGCCTGCCCTACTCGATTTTTCATATGCAGCCTGATGACGTTACGTACATGAGAGGGTGCGTTAATCTAATTAAATTCGAAATTACACTTGTATCGCGCGGTGAATATTTTACAAATCTTTTACAATATATTGTATTGATTTTGGAAAAAATAATTATTAGCTGTCGTATTTTCCTTTCGATTATTCTTGTCATAATTTTTAGGTCGATGAAACAAAATCTAGTAGTCTTTCTGGCTGATATGTACAACGTCTTGGAGATTCATCCAGCGAAATGCGTGCGCTATCCTGGTGAGGAGCGGGCGATGCAATATCTAGATGGTACGTAAACATTTTATGATACGGAATGAGATTGTTTATTAGAAGCAGATTTGCGCGACAATATGTGGTATTCGAGCTATACTTCAATGAGAGCGAGAAAGAGAGAGAGAAAGAGAGAGAGAGAGAGAGAGAGAGAGAGAGAGAGAGAGGAGTTATGAAAATTGGTGGTGGATAAATGTGATTGGTGGAGGCTGCTGTACACTGGACTTTTATACCCGTTCTATTATTTATTTTATTATACTTTTCTCCATGAAAAACCTACTACTATTGCAGGGAACGTACATTATATGTAATTTTGTTCTAAATTACACAAATTAATTGAATTATTATATATTGAGTTACAAATTAATTCAATATATCGTGAATAACTTAAATAAATAAATCATCAATATTATGAATATTAATGAGGAATGTTGCTTGCAATTGTAATGGTATCACGCTTTTTATCAGTGTCAATACACACACTCAATATCTCAGCCTCTTGATCCGAATTCCCTTCCCCGAGAGCAGCGACTAATTATATTATTTCCATTCGATACCAATTGACCTTTTTTGCGAATGCGAACAACAATGAAGTCTGCAACGGGCAAAGAGATATGATATATCAGCCAAACTTACGAACTTACCTCCACACGCAGCACTTAATCTACAACTGTAATATTTCCATATATTTCTATGGCGTAACTTCTTCTTGACGCTTGATACGACAACGCTATCCTCGCCTTCTTCTTTCGTCAACTTCCGGTTGCCCATGAACCACATGATACGGCGCGGCGACGGGTGCAGCCTGCCCGCGCAATAGTCATGGCGTAGCTCATAAGAGAAGCCTGCCACAGTCTATAGCTCCAATACCTGATCTGAGAAGCAACCTCTCCGTAACCGCGCCAGGTTTCACAGGTATCCACACGTTACCACACAAAGAATCAATCTCATGTCTAGGTGGTCGTCTATCTTTGCGAGTCGCGTTTCCGTGGACTGACATTGCCGTTTTTTAGAATGTCTCGAAGAGATCAACGACTTAATCGCCTTATCGCGCTGCCATTCATGTATGTAGGTGTATCAGGTCACCCACATTTAATGCGACGCACACTTATTCTGTTATAGACAGTGTATATAATAAAATATTTGTGATTGTTGCTAATATCAATCTTAATTAAGATCTATTGTATTACTAAATTCTAAAATTTAACAGCAGTATTTAGTTTTCGTCAATCTTTTAGTACGGTCAACATTATTTCATCACACGAATATAAAATTTCTATATGCATATAGAAAAATTTTACTTCTTGTATTGTTTTGGAACGAAGAAGAACCATTATTGAGAAATTAAGCTATTATATCGTTAAAGTTCTGACGTGACATTTTATTTGGGAAAAAAGAAAGGCAATGAGTTTTATCGATAATTCTTATGTATATTAACTAAAGAAAAATCCCGTTGAACTAATCTCTTAGTGAAGTTCATAAGTTGCAAGGAGCACTGCTTGTTATTAATCACATTGTTTGCATTTCATCCAATCACGATCGTGAGAGCATAGAGTGATATATATATATATATATATATATATATATATATTCTCCCGGGAACAGACCTGCATGTAAATCGCATAATTTTGCGACACGATTGTTGGCTGCTTGTCGCTTGCATTGGATCATTGGCTTCATTTTATGTTTTTTTTTGCATGAGATTTTGAGTCGGTGCGCTGCTACCAGTCACTGTCAACGAGAAAGATGAGAACTTCGTCGTTATTCATTAAGGTCCACTCCATGTTTAGTTAGTACGATTATGTTGCGACGTTGTATTCATACTTGGTTCGTTTATGGTGTCATTTGGTTTATGATTTATCATGTATCGAACTGTTTGTTTCACGTTATATTCATTTTCAGATTGGTTCGACACTACGACAAAAACTAGAAATTAGAATATTAGAATAGAAATTCGATGTATATCTTCGTATTTTCTCTCAAAATATATGACATAGACGTTTCTGTTAACATTTTAATATTTGAGACTTGCACAAGTTGAAATTCTGCATTATCGTTCCATTTCTGTCGGTGCACTAGTTTCACATTGAATTCATTTTGCTGGTAACACAAAACAATTTACGTGAGAATTTCACATTGTGCTCTTAAATTAATTTGTTGTCTAAGTTTTATTTAACGTAAAGTATAAATTTATTATCTGTTGAGCATCTTACTGTTTCTACTTGAATATAATTTGAGTGATGAATGAACCTTCTCATACATTAAATAAAAATGATAGACAGGCAATCGATTCATCATTAAATTATCTTTCCAGTTACGAAGTCAACATCAGGCAGTACTGTGAAGAAGTCGCAATCTTTGCAACAAACTGCCGAGAGTCATCCGTATGATGATAGGTGCGTTGTCATATTTCGTTTCAAGAACCTTCTAAAGCAAAATATATATATGCCTGCATACTTACAGAATTTATTAATAAATTTTGCAAATATAAATTTTCTATTTTTTCAAAAAATACTTTATAAATATTAATTATAAAAATCAGAATTAACAAATTAATTTATTTTTTAATATTTATTATTGCTCATTGTGGCCATTTATTTACAAATTAATTAATTAAATTACGAGTCTTATATTTTTTTTAATTTACAAATATAGTTGCAACTTATAAAAATAAATTTATCGTATACATATTTGATAGAAATCAAGTTTAGTTTTTTTTACAGGCGCGCAGGTAGCGAAGAGAGTTTCATAGTGCATCGTGGCAAAGGCATTCCCACGCTGAGCTCCGTAGCCGATGAGAAGTCCGTTAGAACTGAAGCCGCTGGTCGGCCGAGCAATTGGGAAGAACAACGACGAAGTTCCTATGCCGGACGTCGATCAAGACGGAACAGTATCACGGACGATTCTCAATTGACTATCGAGAACTTCGGCGGGTCTCAGGTATGTAGCTGCGCAGAGCGACGTGATTTCATTCGTCGTCGCATGAAGAAGACTTTGGCGCGGAAGGATTATCTCGAGCGGACAAGCAGTATGATCGAGTGATTTCTTTTATCCAGGATAATTTACACAATTTTGGTAGAAATCCGGATAAAGAGCTAGGCGCGCACACTGGTAAGCGTAACGCCACCGAACCAACATTGCCTGCGCGATCCAGCGTCCAAGATGTGTACGGTAGTGGCGTGCAGCACATAATCGCAGACAACGGTTACAGCGGTAGCGAAGAGCCGATGAGGCTGCGACGACAGGCGTCCAACAGCAGCCTAGATAACGTCGCTCTCCGGCAAATCTTACATTCCAACGTAGAGAACGACAGTAGTACGGATGGTAGTAGTGGTGGTGGTGGTGGCGATGTCCCCACGAAGTTCGCCAGCTTCGCGAATTTGAGTAGACAGAGCTCAGAAAAAGGAATCAATTTCACATATACGGAACAAGATGACGCTAAATCGAACAGGAAACATGGCCAAAGTAATGGGAATAGTGAGAAGAAAACAACGTTTGCCACTCTGCCGAACACAACCACGTGGCAACAACAGAGCAATCAGCAGTCGCAGCAGATGGAGCAACATTCAATTGGTAAGTTATTAAAATGAGAAGAAACTTCATCATTTGGAAAGTTTCAAGTTGATTAGAAAAAAATATTAGTATAATACTTGTATAATACTTGTAAAATATAACGTTTATGAAATCTATACATTCATGTATATTATTAGCAAGACAAGAGAGAGTGTAGCAAGAATATATTACTTAATTTTATCTAATTTCATATTTAATTTTGGAATAATTGAAAATACTCTATGTTAGATGAGAACGGCGGTAATACCATAATGGCCTCACAGCTGAATAATATACGAATGAAGCTCGAAGAGAAGCGACGACATATAGAGAACGAGAAGCGAAGGATGGAAGTTGTTATGTCGAAGCAACGGCAGAAAGTGGGAAAGGCTGCTTTCTTGCAAGCGGTCACGAAGGTAAAAACATATGGGATTATTTCAAATGTATTTCATATAATTTAGGAATTCTGCATAAATACACATTGACCTGAATATCATTATCATCAATTCTGCATATCAGTTCTACATACACATCATTGTTATAGTTAGAATTTTCAATAATTTTTTTCTTTGATAAAAGATATAGAGTAATACGGGAATACATAATTCAGTACGCGAATTACGAGAAATGTTGTGGATTTTGTCGACACAACATTAAGGTCTGCCATGCTGTGTGACAGCTACTTTGCGAATCTAGGCACGGGTGTTTAGTATAGAGCAAATAGTATGAAGACTGTATTTCAGAAAGTACAGAGTTTCTTTTTCTTCCGCCTTTTATTTACGTTTTTCATATCATGTTTTTTCTGATTGTAATTACATCCTGATTGTTTAATATTGCTTGTACATATAAATGAATCTATATCAGTTGAATTTGTAGTATTATTGGCAAAGGTATATGAATGTATAATATATATATGATTGCTCAGTTTTAGGTAACAATCAAATTTTGTTTTTAACTCATTTGTTTATTTTTTTATCTAGATATATTCATGTAGATATCATCATTTTGATTGTTTTGGTTGTACATAGTAGGACCTTATCTCTCTTTTTTGTTTGCGCCTTAAATAATCTTGGTTGCCATGTTGTCTTAACACAATTCTCTTTCTGACATTTCAGCTGTACTTGATGGTAAGCGCATGCTCTGACGCTAAATTTTTGCATTATAATAAGATTGAACATTTCTATTTAAATCACGTTTCTGTTTAAGCAGGAATTTTTTCCGTTTGCTAAGTACAATCTTTATTTAACACATGTTATTTTTTTGAAAACGACATCGATATCTTGGAATTCGAGCAATTAATATCATTCAGTTATTTCAATTGAGCATGTATAATTTTTTTTAATAATATTGTTACAATTAAATTAAGATGTTCTTGTTCGAGTTTATCTTTCATTTTTTCCTTAATGTTCGTTTTCCAAAGTATTGATAGAGTTGTGAATGTGTATTGATTTTTAAACGATGTTTGAGGAAGATTCTTAGGTTTTGATTAAAGCACTGCATGTTATTTTACGAACATATTTCCATCGAAAGAGAGTAGTGAGTTTATATGTATGTAATATAGAAGAAAGTTTCAAGTCGAATTATTTTTAGTAATATATTAGTCAAATGGCGTATAATTATCATATTATGATTCTTTTATGGTATCAATACTAGATATGCCACATGAGTGAAATTATATATACTTAATTTTAAATATATATGATATATGTGAAGTTATATATACTTAATTTTAATTATATATATTTATGTGTGCACATAAGATTAATTTTTTTAAATTATATTTACAATTGCAAATGAGATAGCGCGCTCTTAGTTTAAGTCAATTGTTGTTTAATTAAGTATGATTTGCGAGCCACTCTGGATGGGCTTTGGCACTTAACGCGCTTGAGTGTAACGTGACCTTTGCCCGTGGGGAGACACTCGGCACCTTGGTGATTTGGTGGTGATTTGGTGGCGGACTCTGAGTACTTAACAAGGCACGCTGGTTGGGCTGGTTGCAGGGTAAGGTTAAATCTCCCTCTTCGTCAACGTCCGGGGGGGACAGTCCGGCCGAGACAGTCGGTCCCCCCACTCCTGTAACCTCCGGATCTTCCGGGGCGACTCCGACGAGCGTTTCCGAGACGTCCTCTGTACCCCAACAACCCCTTCAAGAAAAACCACAGAGACCCTTCTCGCTCAAGGTACGATATCACCAGCAAGTGTTTCAATGTAGGCGAGAAACTCCGTAATAACTTATCGTTTTTTTCTAGAAGATTATTTATATTACGCGCTTATGTGAATGGCTTTCGAACATCGATTATTACGTTCTTTTTCTTTCGTCCCTGTTGTAGTGGAAGGACTCAGTAAGAAAAATGATTATCTTTCCTCTCAGTGTTTAGCAATTACGAAATTATAAACGGCCGTGACAATGCTACAAAATGTACAGCCGCTTTGTATATTCACCCCTTTAGTAGAAATTACTTTTGATAAAACGGACTATATTATTTTGCTTCTTGACGCTTCTTTTACATAATAGAGGAAAACGAAACCTTGCAATCTCAAGATGATTACGATAGATGTATTTTATGATGTGCAGACCCACTTGAGCATTCGTTAATACCGTATTCCTGGTACGCATGGTGCAATACTAAACACTCTAGAAAATAGTATCATATTTATTTACTTGCATTTATATCTGTGTCGGTGACGGTTACTAGATATAAGTCAATATTTAATACGATTTCTCTTTTCTACTAATAGAACATTTACATTCTGATATGTATACATACGTTTGTCTAACTGATATCTAATTAGCTGTATTACGAAAATTTAATTTAAGTTTCCGCTTCTAATTACACTGTTACTTACGGCTGTTGCGGCGAATCATTTAAATTCGATACCCGTAATTAAAGTGCACCTTAAATTAAAGTACCGAGAACTTGGGGAAATTCAAGAAGACTTGAGGTAGTTATATAAGATATTGATCAAACAGATGGATAAATGTTGCATATATAGATAGTGTCACCAAGTTTCCGGCCATTAACTGGATCAAGAATTTGTTTGTGGATCGCCAATTATTACGAACGTAATAATTGACAAATTAAATCATCATGTTTTATTCGTACTTATTTCGGGTAAATATTCGTAAATAATATTAAATGATGAGATATTTTATATCGTATTACGCAAAACGCAAGTGCCAAGCCTCTGTGAAACACAATTCACAGATTTGTACATCGTTTTACTTATTTTATTTATTTTAATTTTGTAGATTTTTTTTATTCTTGTGCAAAATATATCATATATAATATATAATGATAAGTGTACACTTTAAACAACATAATTAGGAAAAATTCCGAAACTTATAATTATTTTATAATGAATATGATTAGTAATTTTTTTATATTTAAAAACAAAACGCTAAACAATATCGAATTATTTTCTCTATATTGAAGTATTATACACAAGTACGCATTTGTAGTACCGTAATATCTTTCTGAGGCATTCCATTTCTCTGATAATGACTATAGGAAATTAGCGAGGATGTACGGGATGTCGAGCATAAATGGCTGGAGCACGATGGTAATGCGCCATTCATCGAGACCAGACGCACTCCAGATATCGAGAATATGGATCCCGAACAGTATCGTCAATCCATAACACAGTTAGTACTCGTGCCTGTAAAAATTACAGTGGAATTACAAAAATTATCGTTCATGCAAAATGTTTATTGTAGTATGAACAATAGCCTGAGCGAAATTCAAGCGGATATACAGCGTTTGGCAAACCAGCAGAATCAGATTCAACAGCAGCACCTGATGTCGCAGCATCAGAAACAGATGCAGCAACAGCTTCAGCAGCTGCAGAGTCTCAGTCAGCAGCATATGCAAGTGCGTGTCGGAAATATATTTTGCACCATGTTATTAATTTATATTAACTGTTTCTTTTCAAACTTTTATTTTGCAGACTTACGGAATACCACCAATGAATCCATCAACTCCTAGACTGCAAGATTCGCAGCAATCGCAGTTCTACTTGCATGATCAGCCGCAAGTGCAGAGGAGAATGTGGGGTCAACCGGTACCCACCCAGAGTTTGGCCAATGAAATGGCCGCAGTGGGTTATCAGCAGTCTATGGATTCGCGATTTAGTCCTCAACCTATCGGTACATAATTAAATTAATTTAGAATAAATAAAATATTAAAAATAAAATTTCAAAGAAGCTACGCGATTTACGATTATTTTCATAATTTGATTGAACCTTGTTAAATACCAACGTTTCATAAATATTGACCTGATTTTGATAAAATGAACTACAATGTTAAGGATCGACAAGAGTGACAAGCCCATTTATACCTGATTTGTAGTACCATTTAACTTTGCAATTTCATTTTTAAAAACATAATAAATAAAATTATATGCTCTTTATTTATGGTGCAGATACGTTTTCATGTTGATATTTTATCTCCTAGAAGTAATATTACGTCTTAAATCATTTTGGTTTCTTTTTTTATGAAGCTGCGGAGGCTCATACAGAGCCTTTAATTTTAGAAATCGATTCTTGACAATTTTTATTAATAAAATTATGTACACCTTAACTGCACTTAGTACATATATCGGATGAAATATCGATATCGATATAAAATATAAATATAGAATAAATTATTTTGCTCTTTTTTCCCAAAAAATCGCTCTACGCCTTCAAGCTTCTCTGAATGTCGTAATTGAAACGCGATTTATGTAATATTTTAGCACACACAATTTCAGCATAAAGAAATTCGTCTTCAACTTCAATCAAAACACAAAAATAATTCACAAACTGCGTTGCTTCTTTGAAGGAAATAGTCGTGGAAATCTCAAAAATGTTAAAAACAAAATGTACAATACAAACAATGAAATCTATAGTTTAATTTGATATTAATAAAAAATATATATTAATACATTAATATT